AAAGACATATTATATTCAGGTACTAGAAGATTAAACATTGTGTAAAGAGGTTAGTCCTCTCCTAGGTTGATATATACATTTGGTTCAAATGCAATTAAAATGTCACTATTTTATGTGTGGAATAACAAATGATTCTAAAATGTATACAAAAACGTAAAGGGCCAGAAATGGCTGTGACACTCTTTGCTTTAAAAAAAAATGAATAATCTGATCTGAGTGTTAAAATTTGTTTAATATAGTGGTAGCAATTAGAACAATGTGGCACTGACACAAGAATACCCAATTAGGCCAATGGAACAGAATCCAGAAACCAGAAACAGAATACTACACATACAGATACGTGATTTTTCTAGAAGATAATATATTATCATGACCTTACCATGAGATGTCTAAAACAAAATGCACAATGTATTAGTTATAAAGGAAAAGGCTGATATACTGGACCATATTAAATTAAGAATATCTGTTCATCAAAAGGCACCATTAAGATATCTGATAAAGGTATCTTAAAATATCTATAGCAATTTTATACTAAATGGTGAATTATTAAACCTTTTCCAACACTATCAACACTTGCATTCAATTGGAAGTCCCAGCTGATAAAATAAAACAAAACAAAAAAGAAATAAAAAATCATATGTATTGGAAAGAAGTCATTATTTTTAGATAACATGACTGTGTATATAGAAAATCCAAAATTACCTGCAGATCAACTGTTTACACTAATAAGCAAATTTTTAAAAATCTCTGGATACAAGGTCATACATAAAATCAATTGCAGCCAGGCTTGATGGCTCAGCCTGTAATCCTGTGCCTTTGGGAGGCTGAGGTGAGTGGATTGCCTGAGCCCATGGGTTCAAGATCCGCTTGGGCAGGCAAGACCTCACTCTACAATAAATCAAAAAAAAATTAGCCGGGCGTGGTAGCGCGCGCCTGTAATTCCGGCTACTCAGAAGGCTGAGGCGGAAGGATCACCGGAGCCCAGCAGGTCAAGGCTGTGATGGCCGGGAACGGCCACTGCACTCCAGTCTGGGCGACGGAGTGAAACTCCAACTCAAAAAAAATAAAAAATAAAAAATAAAAATCAATTGTATATATATATATATATGTGTATGTGTGTGTGTGTGTGTGTGTGTGTGTGTGTGTGTGTGTGTGTATATATGTATATATATCAGTGACAAAGTGAACATTTAAAAAATACCATTTAAAATAGTTTTGAAACACACAAAATGCCTAAAAACAAATTTAGCAAAAGATATGTAATACCCTTACACTGAAAACTATAGTAGTATTAAGAGAAATGAAGATCCAAATAAATGGAGGAATATTCCATGTTTGTGAATTGGAAGACTAAATATTGCAAACATGTCCATTATCCCCAAATTGACCTGCAGTTGCAGTATGACCTCAATCAGCTGTTTGTTTGTTTGTTTTTCTTCGCAAAAGCTGGCAAGTTGATATCAAACTAAAAAGCTTCTGCACAGCAAAGGAAACAATCAACAAAATGAAAAGAAAGCAATCTATGGACTGGGAAAAAATAACTGCAACCAAATATCTGATAAGAAGTTAATATTCAAAATGTATGATGAACTCTTACAGCTCATCAGCAAAAACAACAAACAAATAAATAACCTGATTTTTAAAATGAACAAAGGACAATAGCAAAACCATGGAACCAGTCATGCTGCCCATCGAAAGTGGACTGGATAAAGAAAATGTGGTACATATACAAGAGAGAATATTACACAGCCATAAAGAAAAACAAAATTATGACCTTTGTAGCAACTTGGATAGATTTAAAGTCTATAATACTGAGTGATCCATCACAGAAACAAAGGTCTGAGTACTGTATTCATTCATAAGTGGACCCTGAACATTTATCATAATACTATAAGAAAGGAGCCGGGCTTGGTGGCTCAGCCTGTAATCCCGTGCCTTTGGGAGGCTGAGGTGAGTGGATTGCCTGAGCCCGCGGGTTCGAGACCCGCCTGGGCAGGCGAGACCTCATCTCTACAATAAATCAAAAAATCAGCCGGGCGTGGTAGCGCATGCCTCTAATTCCGGCTACTCGGAAGGCTGAGGCGGAAGGATCGCCGGAGCCCAGCAGGTCGAGGCTGCGGTGGCCATGAGCAGCCACTGCACTCCAGTCTGGGCGACAGAGTGAGACTCCGACTCAAAAAAAAAAAAAATACTATAAGAAAGAGATTGGCAATAGTGCGACACTGCCAGGGGAGAGAGGGGACACATAACATCAATAAAGGTACCCAATCTCAAACCAGGTGAAGTGAGGACCAAGGGGAGGCCCAAACTTTACCTGTACAATGACCACTTATGCACCTAACCCTGAACTATACCCCACATCTTTAAAATAAAAAGATATTTTTAAATGGATAAAGGACCTGACCAGACATTACTTCAAAGACATAAAGATGTCTAACAGGTATATAAAAAAGTGCTCACAAGCCGGGCTTGGTGGCTCAGCCTGTAATCCCGCGCCTTGGGAGGCTGAGGTGAGTGAATTGCCTGAGCCCGCGAGATCTCATCTCTACAACAAATCAAAAAATTAGCCGGGTGTAGTAGCGCATGTCTGTAGTTCCAGCTACTTGGAAGGCTGAGGAGGAAGGATCGCCAGAACCCAGCAGGTCGAGGGAGCGGCCACTGCACTCTAATCTGGGCAACAGAGTGAGACTCCAACTCAAAAAAAAAAAAATGCTCACCATCACTAATCATAAGGGAAATGCAAATTAAAACCATTATGAAATATTATCTCACACTCATAAAGATGGCTATTATAAAAAGAAAAGAGATAACAAATGTTAGCAAGGGTGTGGAAGAAAAGGAATTATTTCCCTTGTTGGTGGGAATGTAAGTTGCTACAGTCATTATGGAAAACAGTATGGAAGTTCCTAAAGAAATTAACAATACAGATGACCCTTGAATAATGCAGAGATTAGGGGTGCCAATCCCCCATGGAGTCAGAAATCCATGTATGACTTTTAACTCCCCCAAAGCTTAACTACTAATAGCCTACTTTTGACTACTAATAGCCTACTTTTGACCTTACCAATAACATAAATAGTAAATTAACACATATTTTGTATAGCATATGTATCATATACTGTATTCTTACAATAAAGTAAGCTAGAGGAAAGAAAATATTATTAAGAAAATCATACACGGGTTCGAGACCCGCCTGGGCAACTTGGTGAGACCTCATCTCTACAATAAATCAAAAATTAGCCTACAGGGCGTGGTAGCGCGCGCCTGTAGTTCCAGCTACTTGGAAGGCTGAGGCAGAAGGATCCCCGGAGCCCAGCAGGTCGAGGCTGCAGTGGCCGGGAGTGGCCACTGCACCCCAGTCTGAGCGACAGAGTAAGACTCCGACTCAAAAAAAAAGAAAATCATAAGGGGAGAAAATATATTTACTATTAAGTGGAAGTGGATCATCATAAAGGTCTTCATCCTCATTTTCATCACATTTTGTTGGCTGAGGAAGAGAAGGGGTTGATCTTGAAATCCCAGAGGTGGTAGAGGTGAAATAAAATTCATGTATGAGTGGACCCAAGCAGCTCAAACCATGTAGCTCAAGGGTCAACTGTAGAACTACGATATGACCCAGCAATCTCTCCTCTGGACACAAATATTCAAAAGAGGTGAAATTACCAACTCATAAAGCTATCTGCACTCCCATGTTCATTGCAGCATTATTCACAGTAGTCAAGATATGGAAGCAACCTAAATGTCTACCAAAGGATAAATGGATAAAGAAAATGTGTTATCTATACACAATGGAATATTATTCTATCTTACAAGAGGAGAGGATTCTGCCATTTGCCATAAAATGGATGGACCTGGAAGCTATTATGCTAAGTGAAATAAGCCAGACACAAACAAAAATATTACATGATATCACTTATATGTGGAATATTTTTTAAAAAGAACTCAAATACATAGAGACAGAAAATGAAACAGTAGTTACCACAGGAGGAGTGGGAAAGGCAAAGGGGAGGCATTGGTCAAAGGCCACAAGTCTAGGAATCTAATGGAAAACATGAGGACTAAAGTTAATACAACTGCATCGCATTAAGAATTTTTATTAAATAGATTTTAGCTGCTCTTGTCACACAAAAGGTAACTATTTGAGATGATAGATATGATTGGCTTCATTATAGTAACCACTTAATATCTACATGTATCCCATAACATCATGTTGTAAACCTCAAATATATATAATAAAATTTATTTAAAACAAAAAAACTGACAAGCTGATTCTAAAATTTACAGAAATGCAGAAGGCCATGAAAAACTCAGACAAGTTTTAAAAACAAAAGAGCTAAAAGATTTACATTACAGATATCAAGGCCTATCATAAAGCTGTAAGTAAACTTAGTATGTATAAGTAAACTTAGTAAGTACTATTTTTAAAACATTTAAAAACAGGGATTGGTGGGTACACTTAAAGCCCAGACTTCTTCACCACTATATAGTGCAACCATGTAACCAGAACTATTTATACCCTCTAAAGCTACTGAAATAAAGAAAAAAAAATTGAAATATAAAACTATAGCTGAAAAATGAAACTACAGCTGAAGAAAATTTACATTACATAATTTAAGGAAAATTTCTATCCTGGATTCAGTATCAGGAAAGTGAATCCCTTTAGCTAGGTGAACTCATAAAATGATAAGTCTATTTTGCTGTCCTTTCTAGGAAACCTTAAGTATGTGTGCTGCTTAAGTATAATAAGGAACTAGTTAAAAATGCTTTAAAATATGTATCGTGGCTCTTTTCCATGTTTCTCATTTATTAGGTATTAAGTAAGCAACTTCAAATTACTTTTTAATATTAAATGAGAAAATGATGAAGCTGTCCTCAACGCTTTAAAACTACTTTCCCTCCTTATTTGCCACAAGGGGCAAGAGAAACACAGAATTCCAAAGCCAAAAGCAGATCCTGCCTAGATCAAAATTATTTGACTTCTGACAAATCCTAATGTTTACCTGATGAAGCCCTTCTCCAGCTTTCCTGAGATTCTGCAGTTGGTAAACGTCTAGGATTCTTCCATTATCTTGACAGCACAAATCAATTATAACACAGCCCTGGTCCTCAAAAGCATTGATTTGATGAAAAGTAACAAAAGGTTTGCTGTAGTACATTCCTGGAAGAAGCTGTAGGAGAAAATGCAATGAAAAAAGCCATTTTCTTTCTCCCCCCCCCCTTTATTGAACAGATCCACAAAGTTCAAAATAAGAAAATTAAGAGGATTTTTCTCTGTGAAGTGGCAGGCACAGTAGATTTAAAGGAAGTAGAATCCAGAATGTAGAAGGAAATGTGCCTTGATTTAAACATTGCTAGTTTATCTCCTATCATATAAATCAAGGAACTGGGACTATTTGATATAGACCAATCAATTCTTACAACTAACTTAAAAATCCTCATGAAATATAGCCCAGTATTTTGAAGAATAAATGAATCCTGGACTCTAACTGCATGGTTAAATAGAAAATACTGCTACTCAGTATGCTTATGATAAATTAAGTGACTGATGTTTTGAAAAGTACACTCATTACTAAAATGGTTTTTTTGTAATGAAATTCAAGTAGAGTAAATATAAGATTATCTCTTCAGAGTGGTCAATAAGTAGACAAATATAATGGTGCCATTAATGAGAAGTATAAAAAGACATTCAGTCAGCATGCTTAGATTTTGGCAGGATTATCATATTCACGTATTAGGAAGTCACAGAAGCAACTAACTCAAGTATTAATGTAACAATACAGAAAGACTCTGCATGAACAACATCCACTTTACCAACTATTATGATTTGGAAAAATCCATGCTAAGAGGGTTTCCTGGATGCCATTTTAATTGAATCAGAAAATTAAAAGAATGAGATAATTTCCTATAATTCTCTAAATATGCAAAATCCACTGTACTAATAGTAGTTGGCTCAACCTATACAAGAAGATAATATCCCTGATTAAAAGTGTCTTGGCCAGGTGCAGTGGATTATGACTGTAATTCCAGCACTTTGGGAGGCCTAGGTGGGCAGATTGCTTGAGCCTAGGAGTTTGAGACCAGCTTGGGCAACATAGCGAGACCTCGTCTGTACAAAAAAATTTAAAAATTAGCTGCGTGATGGTGCGTGCCTGTAGTCCCAGCTAACAGGATGCTGAGGTGGAAAGATAGCCTAAGTCAAGGATCTTTGTGATCATGCCACTGCACTCTAGCCTGGGTAACAAAATAAGACCCCCAACTCAACCTCAGGAGGTGGTGTGATGTCAGAAAGTCCTCCATTTCATTTAGGTTTTTGAGTAAGTTTCCATATAGCTGTGTATATTAATCTCCTATAGTTTTTTGTACTTCTTCAGGATACATTGTGATTTGGTCTTTTGCATTTCTGATTGTTTATTTGGGCTTTTTCTTTTTCTTGGTCAATCTGGCTAGGGGGTCGTCAATCTTGTTTATCCTTTCAAACAACCAGCTTTTTGCTTCACTGGTTTTTTTTTCTATGGTATTTTTGTCATCTATGTCCTGATATCCTGTTTTTGGTGATCTGTATTTTTCTATTGAAGATAGAGTTTTGGTGATCTTGTCTTTCCAGCTCCCTTAGGTAGTTTGTCAGGCTGTTAACTTGTGATCTTTCCATTTTCTTGATGTGTATTCATAAAGAAATGAACTCCCCTCTAATACAGCTTTCATGGCATCCCAGAGGTTTTGGTATGATGTATCTTTATTTTCATTTGTTTCCAGAAATCTTTTAATTTCTGCTTTGATTTCTGTGTTGACCCAGGAGTTGTCCAGCATCATGCTGTTTAAGTGTTCATGTCTTTGTGGGATTTGGAGTACCTTTGTTGGTGTTGATATTTATTTTTATTCCACTGTGGTCTAGAGGGTTCATGGCAGTATTTCAATCTTACGAAATGTGTTTATGCTTGATTTACGGCCAAAGATGTGGTTGATCTTGGAGTACATTCCATGTGGTGATGAGTAGAACGTATATTCCATGGTTGTTGGGTGGAGTATTCTGTAGGTATCTATTAAGTCCATTTGGTCAAGCTTCAAGTTGAGGTTCCAGATCTCCTTGTTGATTTTTTTGCCTGGATGATCTATCTAGGGTTGTTAGTAGAGTATTTAAGTCCCTAGCTATGATAGTGTTAGAGTCAATATATTTTTTTAGTTTACCTAGAAGTTGCTTTATAAAGGTTGGTGCTACTATATTGGGTGCATATATATATGTTTAGGATGAAAGTTTCTTGTTGATGGACTGACCTTTTTAAAAATTTTTTATTTGTTAGCTTAAAGTCTAAGAAGTATAAAAACTTTGAATTATTTTATTTAAAACCCCAAATACCAGAGATGAAGTAAATCATCTTTTACTTTCATCTTACATCAGATTATCATGAGACATGCAAGACTCTCCCATTTTAATGAGAACAGTGTTTTTGTATCTTTTTATCACATATCCACTTAATATTAGGTATAATGCTGCTAAGTCGGTTCCGCATGTGAGGTGCAGTATCAAGTCTTTTCCTATATTTCGTTTTTATTGCAGCATAGTATGAAAATCCCGTTTAACACAGGTGCATTGCAGCGAAAGGAAAAAGTACACAAACTGCACACTTTGCAATGCTTGGGTACTCTTGAATTAGGCTACTCCAAAAGTCATTTAGTGAAAGTTCACTGAAATTCTGTTTCAATTGAGAATCAGATGTTAAAACAATCAGGCTCTCATAGTCCCGTGCTACTAATGAGACTGGTTTAACAGTTACTGTAAGTGAATTTCTAACCCAGGCATCATTGTCATTTGTTACAGGAAAATATTTTAACAGAGTAGACTGCAAACCCCTCAGGTGATGCACAACGGCACTGCAAATATCTTTATCACGGTAGAATTAACTTCAGTCAAAAAGTCACTCAACGTAGGAAAACAATCAAAGTTTTCTTCTACAGATAAGGCCCAAAATTCTAATTTTCTTAACAGTGATGACATTTTATCTAATACTATAAAAACTGTCACATTTTTTCCTTGCATTGACAAATTAACCTCATTTAATTTAGTAAAAATATTTGCAAGATATGCAAGTCTAAGCAGCCAGGATGAATCTGTTTAACCAACAGCCGAAAAGCAGAATTCATGAAAACCAACAGTTCACAATGAAGCTCAAAAGTCTTACAAGAACTTTACCTCGAGAGAGCCACCTCACCTCTGTATTTAAAAGTAGTGCTGTCTGCTGAGCACCCATTTCTCCACATAAAATTTTTAGCAGTCTGGATTGATGTGGTCGAGTTTTAATATAATTGATGATTTGTACTGCTTAGTCTAACACATCTTTTAGAGATATAGGCATTACTTTAACTGCTAATGTATGTCTATATAATAGACAGTGACTACTGGTGCTTTCGGGAGCCACATATTTTATCAAGGTGACAGCCTCAGCAATTTTCCTGTTCATTGTCCTAGAAGCATCACTACAAACATCAACACATTTTTCCCATTCAATTTCATGTTTCTGCACAAAACTGCTGATACAGTTGAATATTTCTTCACCAATAGCATTACTTTGTAAAGATTCACATAACAGTAGGTCTTCCTCAGTAAACTTACTAAACCTATAATGAACAGACACAAGCAGCAAAGCAAGTCCTGAAACATCAGCTAATTCATCGAGTTGCAGTGAAAACCCATCACAAATTTTCAGTCTACAAACAAGCTCTTCTTAGATGTCAACAGCTAGATCCTTAATTCAACATGCAACAGTACTGTCTGAAAGTTGTGCTGCATCTATTTTTTTTACTATATTGTTCATCAAACATCCGTATCACTACATCTTTTGTACAAAGGTTGATAAGCAATTCTCCAATAGTATGAGCCTCTCCACTCAGGGCTATGTGGTAATTTACATTGTATGATGCCTCTGTAGCACTTTCATTATCTGTATTCACAATTTCAGGTGTTGGGGGTTTATTATTTTCAGGTGAATAAGATGCTGCATGAAAAAGCTAATGTCTTTGTCTTTGTATGTAGCAATGTTTAGTTTCTAAATGTCTTCGAAACTTATGGGGCTAAAGAGCTATTGGATAAAATTTTCTGACATAATACACACTGGGCATGAGGTGCATCTCTATTTCCAAAGTAAGTAAATCCAAAAGACAAGTAACTTTCATCATACTTTCTTCTTTTTGGTTTCTTACTAAATGTTATTTTGTTAGAACTGGACATAAATTTGACCCTGGAAAGCTCACCGCCTGATTTTTAGAAACTGAAGGTTACAACTGTTCATCTTCACTTTGTAATATTCCAACTTTTCGGTCATTTGATTCAGACACAATTTGATAACAGAATGATTCCACTTCTTGTTTAAGACTTCCTTGTTTCAGCAACAGATCCATGGGCAATGAATTTGTGGTACAAAATATGGTTAATTTAGAATAAACATTGACTATCACAAATGTGTTGAAATTATAAGACAGGATACAAAGAAGATGAGCAATCATCAAAGAGATCATACATAGCAATACATCAGTTAATTTGTAAATGCTGCCTATGCATCAATGCGCAGATGGAACATCATAGGTTCGTGTATCAGATGATCTCTCATGCAACTTCCTGGTGCTCTCAGGTGTGACACGACTTTTCTTAAAGGTAGATTATCACATAAAAATAAAAACTGAAATGAGGAGTAATCCCTTCTGTAATCACTCTCTCCACCTTGGCAGCTTGAAATGCAGATTTCTCAAAAGAATAAAATTAAGGAATGGGGTGTGAAGGATGAGAAGTAACCAAAAGCCTTCACTGAGGCCTGAACAGGATCAAGAACCAGTAGTTGCGGAGTGGAGGGGGGGAGAGGAGGGAGAAGGATGAAAAACAAAACAGAAGGATTCAGGGATGGGGTGATGCTGTCAGCTCAGGGACATCATCTATACCACCTCCATAGAGATCCAACTCACTGCTGGTGCAGTCACTGGTCTCAGATTGATCCTTTTATCATTATGTAGTGATCTTTCATAACTTTTTAAATTTTTGATAAAGGATATTTTGTCTGATATTAAGATCGTAACTCCTGCTTTCTTTTGTGTTCTGTTCACCTGAAAATTTGCTTTCCATCCTCTTACTTTGCTTTCCATCCTCTTACTTTACAAAAAGAGGAAAGTTACTTGTCTTTGAGTCTGTGAGTGTCCATTCTGAGATGAGTCTCCTAGAGACAGTATGTTGTTGTGCTATTTTTTAAAATTCAGTTTGCCACTGTATGTCTTTTCAATGGTGCATTTATTATCATTCAGGTGAAGGAGGAACCAAAGTGAGGCCCAAACTTTACCTGTACATTAACCATTTATATACCTAACCCTGAATTGTACCCAACATCTTTAAAATAAATTTAAAAAAGAAAAACAGACCCAACTCAAAAAACAAAATAAAAATGTTTTATGCAAGTAACATCTAGTGAAGGTGAAAAATCAACCACATGGAAATTTGCCTTTGTGTCCAACAATTTTCATGATGAACATTCTCAAATAATCTACCTGTCCAGTGTGTTTATCCACCACATGAAACCGTGTATTGAACTGGGGTTCCCAGCTTATCCCATCTGAAAAGGCCTCTCCCCGAATTTTAGAAGTGACAAGTTTCCACAAATTCATCTTCAGAGGCTGTTCAATGAAGATTATGTAGTTCTCTGTCATTCCTATAAGATTACAGAAAACAATAAAATGTTATTTGGCAAAGCAGAGTTGTCTAAAATGTGCCAGTTATGGGGACTTGTCAAAATGCCTAGACACAGTACTGCTGCCCTAAACAAATGTCAGCCTTTACTGTTTCTCAGTTTTGCTATACGTATTTCCTGTTCCTACACACAAAAGAGAACTGCTTAGAATAGCTTGGGTTTTATGTTCTCAGCAGTCTTTTATCTTTTTTTTTTTTTACAAAAAAAGCAGTTTGGCTATAATGGTTTAAAATACAGAAAATAAATATTCTGAGTAAAAGCTGAAGTGATCTATATAGAAAATGAATTTCCCCTCCAAAAAAAATACAGTTAAGACCTTTTCACGGATGATTATTATTTGTGGGCTTTAAAGTTGCCTAAAACTTTCAATTCTATCCATCTTTTAGTAATTGCTTATACTAAAGCAACTACAGTATATGTTTTCAAGCAGTCAGCCCGTTAGTGTCAGGAGTATGTGACTACACAGAATAAACTTAACTGGCATCAAAATGTAACCTTAGTGTTCTTATCACCATACCGTGATGAACTATTAACAAAACATCTGTCAAAACTAGTCCTTCGCTACAGCAACATTAAGGCAGAGCGCATTGTAATTTGCCTTATCTCTAGACTCACCAAAGCTATGGTAGTAAGAAGGCTTCCCCGTCTCTGAAGAAGCAATAGAACATATCACCTGGGCTCCATGGATTGTCTCCTCAAGGTTCTCCTTCTTTGGAGGAACTCGAATGACATTATAGCAGGAACCTGAAAATGAAAGTCCTATCTTAACTATTTTACAGACATTCTAGAGTAAGAGATAAACTTGCACTTGTGGACTTGGGAAAAGTAGTTCAGAGATTTATGTAAAATGCATGACAGTCATATTTCATAAAGGGTGATCTCAAGTGAAGATCTGAATATGGAAAATATATCGACTTTATGAAAATCATTAGCTAAGGGTTTGAAACAGCACACCCAAAGTGATCAACCACCGATTCACCGTATTCTAATGCTCTCAAACGGTCACCGCCTCACTCCCTGAAGAGGAACTTCATCCCTGCCTCATAGGAAAGGTTAAGATATCAACCAGGAATATCCTCAAATTCTATTTGTTTCTTCTCTCCCTCCCCCTAATTCAACAACTACAATCTCCACTTGCACCCATATCCGACTCCTGTCACCCATCCTCTGGCAATCTGGGGCGGCTCTGGGTCCCATCCCATCCTGTCTCAGCATTCATTCATGAACTCATTCATCTGGCTATTGCTTACTAGTTCTTCCAGAATCAACTCAGCTATTCACTCCTCAAGTAGCCTTGCCTGATTCTTCCCCAACCCAAAGGCATTTGGTGCCCCAACTCTATGCCCTCATTACACGCTACACTGTCACATCATTTATCTCATTGTACCAGAATTTTCTGCCCATTTATCTGCTTCCCAGCAGACTGTTGGGCTCTTCAAAGGCAGGAGTTGTGTCTGATCCATCTTTGTATTCTCAGTAGCAAACAGGACTTGACATTTAGTAGGCACAGGATAAATAGCTATTGATGAATTAAGTAACAACATGTTTGTTAAACCACTCAATGCATGAATAAGTATTTAGGTTATATTGAATCATCTTCCTGATGTCAGAATTGCCAATGTAGGTGGTGAAAAACTTGGGTAACTTACAGAATTTTGCAATCTGCAAGCTTCTTGTGGAACAAAATAACCACATAGTTCTTTATTCACTATTCTGTAACTACTTTTTGAGCATCTCCTATATTCCAGACACTATTCTGAACATTCTAAGTTCTACATTCCAAGCAATTATATACAGCAATATACAAAATAGACAAAAATCATCTTTTTTATAATGCTCAAATTCTTATAAAAATTGCATAGGTGAAAATGTATCAGATGATGAGAGAACTACTGAGGAAAATAAACCAGGGAATGTGGTTCAGGAGTGATTTATGTGGGAGCTACTGTTTGCAATTTATTTGTATTTATTTACTTTTCAGTTGGGAGTCTCACTCTGTTGCCCAGGCTGGAGCGCAGTGGCACGATCATAACTCACTGCATCCTCAACCTGCTGGGCTCAGACAATCCTCCCACCTCAAGTTCCCAAGTAGCAAGGACTACAGGCATGTGCCTCCATGCCTGGTTTGCATCTGCCATTTTAAAGATGTTGGTCCAGGAAGGTTTCGCGAATTGGGTGACATCTGAGTAAAGATCTGGAGGAGGTGAGGAAGACAGCCTTTAGGATATCTGGGAGAAATCCATTCCAAGTAGAGGGAAGAGCAAATTCAAAGGTTCTCAGCCTGGAGCAAGTCTGGAGTATTCAGGTATCAGCAAGAAGCCAGTGTGGTCCTGTCATAAGCAAAGCAGAAAGTCTAAGAGGTAAGGTCAGACAGGTGTTGTGGGTTAAAAGGGTAGCTGGCTGCTGGGCTAAAAGAAACTGAAGTGGGGCAAGGGCAGAATCAGGGAAACTAGTTAAGAGGCTACTACCATCAATGAAGTAAGAGCCAACGGTGGCTCAAAGCAGAGTGATAGCCATGGAGGTGGTGTGAGGTGTCTGGGTTTTAGAAATGTTTTGAAGACATTGCTGGAATTGGTTTTTGATCAACTGATATGAAAAAGAAATGTGAAGGATGATTCCAAAGTTACTATCCTGAGCAACTACAAGAGTGGAGTTAACATCAACTGAGACAGGGATGACTCATCTTAAGAAGAGAAAGTTAAGCGCATGTTGGTGCATGCCTGTAGCCCTAGCTACTTGAGAGGATATCAAGAGCTCAAGAACTTGAGTCTATATAAGTGGACCTTGAACAACTATCGTAACATTATAAGAAAGGGATTGGCAGTAGTGGGAAACTGCCAGGGGAAGGTGGGGGCAGAATTGGCAGTAGTGGGAAATTGCCAGGGGAGGGCAGAGGCACACCTCGTCAAAAAGGGAACCTGCATAATGAACATTTGTATACCAAACCCTGAATTGTACCCCACATATTTGAAATAAAATTTAAAAGAAGAATTTGAGTCTAGCCTGGGCAACACAACAAGATCCCATATTTAATTTTTGAAAAGAAGAAAAAGTTTAGAAAAAAATTAGGAATTTGGTTTTCGACAAGTTAATTTTGTAATTGCCTATTAGACATAATAGGAAAAGCACCAAGTAAGCAACTGGATTAAAACACTGGGAGGTCTATGTTGGGGATACATATATATTTTGAGAGCCTGCTATATCTAAAACATCATGCTTTGTATAGTGATGAGAAAAGTATTAGACAAGCTCTATAGTTCCAAGAGTACCCTATTACTGTCTCTAAGTGATTAGAATGAAGAACATATTTTTTAAAGTATTAAAAACTAGTTGAATTGATTAATATTTAAAAGATTGTTAATTTTTTAAAAACTTTTTTTTAAAAATCTGGAAAAGCTAAAACAAAGCTTTTTACTTCCTAAAGGTAGGTATTACTAGTAAGCATTTTATTGTATTACAATCACTAAATATTAGAATCACTAAATTTCCTCAAAATGTATATTAGGTAGTTGAACTCAGCTACATGCACACTGAGTTCCAGTTCAAAAACTTCTCACTGAACCAAATAATCAAGTGAGAAAAAAGAAGTAGATTCAGCGCTGGGATTAGGAGACAATAAAGAGAATTTCCTGTCTCAGCAACTGGATTACTCAATTCATTGAATTTAAACACATTAGTTAATGAACTGTTCTAACTGTAAGCCTTAGAGGCATTAGGCAAGGCAAACAGATACCCAGGAAACACCCAGCGGAGGAATGGCCCGAAAGACCTGACCTGCCCAATACTGTGAGTTTAACTCTAGGAGACTCTCCTGGAGTTTGTATAAACAGCAAATTGAGGCAAAGTAACAAGTACAGTCTATCATGATTGGTGACTGGGTTTATCTGTAAGATTCAGGGGCCACTTACACCAAAATCACCTGGGAACCATGTTAAAAATGCAGATTATTGGCCCCTTTTTAGTCCTACCGAACCAGAATCTCCGGAGATGAATGAATCCCAGTAATCTACATTGTTAGCAAGCATTCCAGCTGATTTATAGGTGCATTCAAGGCTGAGAATCACTGATCTAGTGACCATTTATTTTAGAGTACATAATTAAGAATGGTTAAATCGTATTTCTCATATTGTGAATGAGCTACAAAATGATCTTCTTGCTTAACAGAGTTAATTTATTAAGAAGTGAATTTTTTTTTTTTAAAGAGACAAATACTGCCCAAGCTGGTCTCAAACTCCTGGGCTTATACAATCCTCCTGCCATGGCCTCCCAAAGTGCTGGCATTACAGGCATGAGCCATCTTGCCCAGACGTGTATTATTTTAATGATCAAAAATGATGCATGGTCAAAAATTATCGTATCAGTGTGTTCACTGCTGAAATTTTTTACTTAGAAGGATGTTTGTTGTTTCTTACAACAGTTTTGAAGAATCTATACTTACCTGAGATCAGGAAATAAGGAAGAGCTGAGTAAAGGGGTGTCCAGGGCACCCTCTCTATACTTAAGCCAGGAAAAAACAAACCTGCAGTATTCATCTTTATATACACTTACATATGTAAATATGGAAAGATACAGAGGAGCAACCCACAAAGTCAATTACTCACCAAAGGTATACCATTAACCTATATCCTACAAAGGTTTCACAGGTTGTAAGATGGTAGGTTGACTGATAGCTAAGACAGAGAGTCGAAAATATCTAATATAGTAGTTCCCCTTTATCCACAGGGGATATGTTCCAAGCATCCCAGGGGATGCCTGTACACATATCTAAGATCAAGTTCAATTTATAAATTAGGCACAGGAACTAATAATAAAATAGAACACTTGTTATAACATACTGTAATAAAAATTATATAAATGGGATCTCTCTCTCTCACTCTTACACTTTCTCTCTCTCTCTCTCTCTCTCTCTCTCTCTCTAAATACTCTGATATAGTCTGGGTAACTGAAACTGTGGAAGGTCAAACTACAGATGGAGAGCTACTATACTTATACTTACACATTCCTTTCAAACAGAGAAAGATATGTGTATTCAAGTACAGGAACCCAAATCTGCATGCATTTACAGAGTGAGTAGATAGTGAAAAGGCCCTTAACAAGCAGAGAAACAAATGGTGAATAGGCAGAGACTGAGAATTTAAAAATAACAATACATCTTCTGCACTCAGTGATGAAGAACTAACGAAATGGTCTAATGGACTAACTAAGAACAAGTCTGTGGGTGTGAGTCAAGCTTGGTGCCAAGTCTGGTCTCAGATACTTGAAAGTTTGTCTGAGCAAGTCACTTACACCTCCTCAGGGGTCACTGCCCTCCTCTGTAAAATGGAGGTAACATTTGCACCTTGCTCAGAGAGCTGGTATAAGGATCTAATGAGAAAATGTAGGCAAAAGTGCTTAACAACAGCACATAATAGATACTCAGTAAATGTTAGTTATCATTATTAGCTATTAGAACTCTCTGGAGCAGATTGGTAGATGGCTGTGGAAGCAAGTGGATAATCAGAAAAGAGATGTGATGTAAGTGCCTGTTGATGCAACTCCACTATGACCTTAACTTATTTTGCAGAGCATTACTCCTATGATAAAAATAAATTATTTCCCTATGTGATAGACAATGTACCTTCCCTATATCTCTTGGCTTCAACATTCTAAATTTCTTCTACTTACAATATGGTATTAATTAAAAATTCAAGTTTAAGAAATAAGTTCTGAAAATCCCTACAATGCTTGTGAACCAAAGACATAAGGAAACAAAAATGTGAGTTAAGTTGAAAAGGTCAAATAGAAAATCAGCTGCTAAGTGTAGGTACAAATGGACCACAGGAACAAATATTTACTGATAAAACATATATTCTAAGTTCAGTAATGCTATTTCAGAGATTCCCTTCTGAACCTTTCAAGTCATGTTATCTTATATACATCTTAACCATCTTGGAACCCTGAGAAGATAGCTAACATTCAATTATTTCTAAAAGACTTTTATCACAACTTTACCATGTGGCCCATAGGAGTTCCCCAGATTGTAAGCTGTTCCATCTGGGTCATAATGAGGATGTGCAGTTGCTCCATTCACAGCAATAAATTTACTCCAATCTACCTGCAAATTTAAGATCGTTAAAGATTTTTAATGGGAGTGTAAACTAGTGCAACCTCTGTGGAAAGCAGTGTGGTGATTCCTAAAAGCTCTAAATATCGACCTCCCATATGACCCTGCAATCCCCCTACTGGGAATATACCCTGAAGAACTCAAATCACTCTATCAAAAAGATACCTGTACACGAACGTTTATCGCAGCATTGTTCACAATATCAAGAACCTGGAACCAACCATGCTGTACATCAAAAGAGGACTGGATTTTTAAAAATGTGGTACATAAGCCGGGCTCGGTGGCTCAGCCTGTAATCCTGCGCCTTGGGAGGCTGAGGTAAGTGGATTGTCTGAGCCCGTGGGTTCAAGACCCACTTCGGCAACTGGGTGAGACCTCATCACTACAATAAATCAAAAAATTAGCTGGGTGTGGTAGCGCCCACCTGTAGTTCCAGCTACTTGGAAGGCTGAGGTGGAAGGATCGCCGGAGCCCAGCAGGTCGAGGCTGCGGTGGCCAGGAGTGGCCACTGCACTCCAGTCTGGGTGATGGAGTGAGACTCAAACTCAAAAAAAAAAAAATATGGTACATATACACGATGGAATACTATGCAGTCATAAAAAAGAACAAAATAATGAATTTTGCAGCAACCTGGATGGAACTAGAGTCTATAATACTGAGTGATCTCTCACAGAAACAAAGATCTGAGTATCACATGTTCTCATTCATATAGTGGACCATGAACATCTATCATAATACTATAAGAAAAGGACTGACAGTGGTGCAGAACTATGGAGGGGGTAGGGAGGGGAAGGGAGGTGGGACTAACAGTAGTTAATATCAGTCTGGGGATGGGGAGACACCCCTTATTAACAAGGGTGCCTGAATGATGCACATTTGTATACCTAACCCTTAACTGTACCCACAATTTTATAATAAAAAATATGTTTAAAAAAAAAGATTTTTAAATGTCACATGGGCAGATCTCTACTTACATGTATAAATAGTAGAGATTGGGTCAAATATTTTTTAAATAAGATGTAAAAACTACAGTCTAAGATGTAATTTCTTTACTCTGAGCAATCAAAATTATTTTTCCCACTAAAGAAAAAGAAATTTTGCCAGGCAAGATGGTTCATGCCTGTAATTCCAGAACTTTGGAAGATCAAGGCAGGAGGACCACTTGAGGCCAGGTGTTTGAGACCAGCCTAGGCAACAAAGCTAGACTCCATCTCACTTTATAAAAAATAAAAATTTAAAAAAGAAGAAAAATAAGACAAAAACAAAAAGCAATAAAAACCACAACCCTCCCCACCCCATCGTCACCAACAAAAACAATCCTGAATAGATTTGCTCATGATCACAGGAAAATTCAAAAGAAGCATAAGACTCAAAGTAAAAAATCAGGTCCAAAATTTTATTTTTAATTAATATGTTATATGAAGGCAATACAGATCTAGACAACCTCTAGTTCAACACTAGTGATAGCTAGGAAGAACATGAAGTAGCAAAACTGGATGAGTACTATTCTATTCCCCCTTTATACTAGCTTTCAGATATCAGGACTAAGGAAAGAGTTTAGAATTATCTTTAAGGAAAATTAACCCTACAATTAATTCAAATCAGGACAGAGAATGAAGGTAATCTGAATCAACAAATTACTATTTTTGTGTAGCTAAGCCTCCAATTTCTTTTTGATATCTACTACTCTAAAAAGTATTCTGAATAGAAAGAAATTTTTTAGGAACTAATTTATTCATTTTTTTAACCTATACTTTACCTTTTCTGTTTTTTCCAGAGTTTCAATGTCCAATTTATTCATAAAATTGGTCTCAGTACTGATGTAGTAATCACCCTTGTACTGCACATAGTTGACATTAGTGTTGTCACTCATGGCTGAAAACAAACCCCAGAGATATTTAAGCACCATGGCTTACTACAGCAGACCCTCATCACACAATCAAAGGAAGAAAGCAGTTTCAACATTCTCTCGCCAAAAGCAAAAAAAATCTATTTTCAAGATTTATATTTGTATCAACTGCCATATGTCATAATAATTTAAATTACCATCACTATTCACTATCACCTGCAGCTTACCAGGCAGCTCAAACTTTGACATGAAACGTTCAAAAACATTCTTGCATGGATCCGGGAGAGCCAGTGTGCCAAATTCTGAGATCACAATTCTATTTTGAGCACTGTTAGCCTGATATGTATCACTCTGTAGAAACTTGCTCCTGTATGTCACCATTCCCTTTGCCATCCTGAACTGGTGAAGCAAAGCCATTCCATCAAACCAGTGATTATACCTTCAAACATGAGAAAAAAATAGAAAAGCAGATATTAGGGGGGGAAAGGCGGGGGTCAAAATGGCAGACAGCATGATATATCTTCATTTTAAATATAAAAAAATGGGATGGGTTCCTAGTTGATTGGCCAGCAAAATTGAAATTGAGGGAGGATAGCATTTTGGCTATGTACGCAGGTACAATAGGAAAGATAAATTTATGTTCTCTGGACCCTCACCTCTTGCCCAAAAGCTCACATTTTAGAGGACTGAAGAAAATTCCTATGGTGCTGAATCCTAAGATAATTCTGGTAGTTACCCTGTGGCTAAGAAAATATCATGAGAAGAAACGAGATGCATGGCATTCACTACATCAGAATGAGTTCCTAAGCTTTTATAAATAGTTATCTTTGTATCTTGTATGTATTACATTTTCCATTTACTTAAAAATTTTTTAACTTTATCAAGATTATGCTAAAATAGACAAATAAGATGACTGTCCTTCTTAGATAATCATTTTTGTCCATATAATTACACAAGAAATGAACTTAAATGACAGAACACTAAAAAGTTGCAAAGAGAAGTTTATGGTTTTGCTTTTTAAAGAGTCTATTATATGGTCTTTTCTTTCACAAGCTTGATATACTGAATGCTTAATGTACTCTGTATGGAAGACCAAAACTAACCTGGTCTTAAAAGGCAATGGTTCCTCAACTGAGAAAGAACAAACCCAAAACTCTCTCTTTTTTTTTTTTTTGACTTGGAGTCTCACTCTGGCGCCCAGACTGGAGTACTGTGGCCACTTCCGGCCACCGCAGCCTCGACCTGCTGGGCTCCGGCAATCCTTCAGCCTCAGCCTTCCAAGTAGCCGGAATTACAGGCATGTGCTACCACGCTCGGCTGATTTTTTGATTTACTGTAGAGATGAGGTCTCACTGCCCAGGCGGGTCTCGAACCCATGGGCTCAGGCAATCCACTCACCTCAGCCTCCCAAAGGAGCGGGATTACAGGCTGAGCCACCGAGCCCGGCCAGAACTCTCTCTTTATACTCTCCCTTTCTGTATAAAATGGCCTTTGTAAAGGTGACATAATTTCCATTTGTAACGGTGTTTCCCTCTCCAGTACCATGAGGAAGACTCTTATTTACTGAAGAGCATTCTTAATAATGAAAATAATACCAGCCGGGCTCAGTGGCTCAGCCTGTAATCCTGCACTTCGGGAAGCTGAGGTGAGTGGATTGCCTGAGCCCGCGGGTTCAAGATCTGCCTGGGCAACTTGGCGAGACCTCATCTCTACAATAAATCAAAAATTAGCTGGGTGTGGTAGCGCACGCCTGTAGTTCCAGTTACTTGGAAGGCTGAGGCGGAAGGATCGCCAGAGCCCAGCAGGTCAAGGCTGTGATGGCCGGGAGCGGCCACTGCACTTCAGTCTGGGCAACAGAGTGAGACTCCAACTCAAAAAAAAAAAAAAGCAGAAAAGAAAATAATACCAACAGGTGACTATATAACAAACTGTATTAAGCAACCTTTTTATACCATACATTTCCTGGCCACCTTTCCCCAATTAACCATCCCTTGAAGCCCAACCCCACTCTCCTTTTTCTAGAAACTTCTCCACAATTTATCTCCCTTTGTTAAAATGGTATATAAACTTCCCAGTTCAACTTTCTTCAGGTTTACTTTTTGTGTGCATGTAACCCCCGTTTGTGCACAATTAAAACATCAATTAAATGTGTATGCCTTTCCTGTTTAAAAAAAAAGGCAATGGTTCATGAAAGCAGGGACTAGAAGAGATATCTGTATATCCATGTTCATAGCAGCATTATTCACAATAGCCAAAAGATGGAAGTAACTCAAGTGTTCATCAATGGCTGAATGGATAAACAAAATGTTTACATTTTAAGGATTCAGAGCATGCCACCCCAAAATATGCCACCCTGACATACTGATTAATTTGAATTAAAGGCACTTAAATAAAAAAGATGCAAAAAAGGCACACGGAGCTTATTCGTCCTTCCTGAAACAGGAGATAAAACTCCCATGTGAAAGGTATCCTTTCTGTACCAGAAGGAAGACATTCTTATCACCAGTAATGAGGCAGAGAAAGATCCATGCAAACAAATCTTGTCAAATGAACCTTTATCTTCATGGCCCCTTTCCTACAACTAACTCCTCTGGCCCAAACCCTTGGTCACATTTTCACAAGTTACAACTCTTTTTCCAACCTAGTATATAAGCTTTCAGTCCTAACTTACTCTTTAGGTATTCATATTTTCCAATGAGGGCTCCTAGGTACATGTAAAAATTACTAAATAAAATGTGTATGCTTTTATTCTGTTAATATACCTTGTGTCACTTTAATTATTGGGCCCAGATAGAGACCCTAAGAGAGCAGATGGAAAATTTTTCCCTAAAACATACACTGACTAGAATATTATCTATCATCGAAAGGAAAGGATATCCTGTCTCATGTTACAACATGGATGAACCATTGAGAACACTATGCTAAATGAAACAAGTCAGTCACAAAAAGACAAATGCTGCAATCAACGATTCCACTTATATGAGGTATTTAAAGGAGACAGATTCATAAAAGTAGAATGGTGAACCTTTGGGAGGCTGAGGCGAGAGGACTGCATGAGCCCAAGGGTTTGAAACCAGCCCGGACAACTTGGTAAGACCTCATCTCTACAATAAATCACAAAAACTAGCCAGGTGTAGTGGCATGCATCTGTAATTCCAGCTATCTGGAAGGCTGAGGGGGAAAGATCACCTGAGCCCAGCAGGTTGAGGCTGCGGTGGCCATGAGCGTGCTGCTGCACACCAGCTTGGGCAATAAGAATGAGACTCCAACTCAAAAAAAAACTAGAATGGTGGTTAATGGGAGAAGGAGAAATGAGGAGTTGCTGCTTAAAGGATAGAGTTTCAGTTTTGAAGATCTGTTTCAAAATTATATGTATATTTTTGATACTAGCTAACTGTACACTTAAAAATGAATAAGATGGCAAATTTTATGCTATGTGTATTTTACCACAATTTTTAAAATTAAAGAAGAAAAGTTCCTCTTTACCCAATGATCTGAGATGCCACTATTACCACACATTAACCCTCCATAAGTTCTTGGGTCGACTTGGGGACTTTCTACTCTACATCATTCATCTGTTTGTCTACTTACACACCAATATCACAACGCTTTCATTAGAGGCTTTATTGTATATTTTAACACCTGGTAGGGCTAGTCACTCCCTCTGAAAACTTTTTTTAGAATTTTTTTAACCATTTCTGCGTATTTATTTATTCTTATAAATTTCAGTATCGATTGGTCTAACGTCTTTAAATAGCGTGTTGGAATTTGCATTAAAAGAGTATTAGATTTCTAAATTAACTCAGGGAGAACTGACATCTCTATGTTGCTGAATCATTCTATGCCAGAATGTGGATTTCCATTTGTTCAAGTGTATCTTTCAGGAGTATTTTTAAATGTGCATATTTCTTTAAGTTCATTGCTAAATTGTTAATCTTCATTGCAATTGTAAATGAAGTTGTCTCTATCACTATGTTTTCTAACTAGATAATGTTTGCCTATAAGACTATAATTTCAGTATGTCAATTTACCCTACCTTTTATTGTTAGATTTAGTTTTATCGTTGATTCACTATGGTTTTTCAGGTTTACTACTATGCATCTGCAAAAAGACACAATTTAACTTTACTAATCTTTGTCCTTCTAATCAATTTCTTTGATCTAATTGCATTTTATCAAGGTTTTCAAATGTGTTCGCATAGAGCACATTATGCAAAGTATCTTGTATTGTTTTGTTTTGTTTCAATGGTTTCTTCTCCGTTTCATTTCTAAATTTGTATATTTGTGCTTTCTCCCTTTTTCTTCTTGATCATTTTAGCTAAGGATGTGTCTACATGGTAGTTTTTTCCCAAAAAAGCTTAAAAACAAAATGGTTTCAAGAATGCTTGCTGTTTTGGTCTAGATCCCTTTAAAACCCCAATGATTACAACTAAATACAGTACTCTACAAAAAATACACTCAGCTTCCTCATTCAGGACTTTTTTTTTCTTCTTTTTCTTGTCACCACCTCGCAGTGTTGACAGCTCACAGTGAGCTGTCAACCAAAACCCCAAGTAACTTTTAACATTTTCTGCTGTTAAACCACATTTCATCTTTGAGTTTATAAAACTGGTTGTTTTGATCCATATTTACCTTTAATAAACTTCAACCTGTTAGATTATGCCTCACGACATCCTGTCATTTCTTGTATTTATTTATTTAAATCAACATTTCTTGAATCCCTACTATCTGCCATGTATCATGCCAAGGCCAGGGCTTACAGGCACACATATAACTGATACAAGGTAAGTACTGCTACAATGCAGACTTTTTTTGTTGCTATTTTTTTTTAAAGCAGGATTTATTGAAAGGACACAAAAGCTCCCATAGTGGGAGGGGACTCGAAAGGGGACCCGAAAGGGACCAGAAATGTTTAGGAAAAAAAAAAAAAAGATGGGCAGCTGGAGGAATCCAGGAAAGATCAAGAGAGGAGGAGACATTTGACATCTTCAAGGATGCCTGCCAGTTGGACAGGGAACAAGGACAGAGGTAATGAAAGAATGTGAAGGCACATAGCATCTCTTGGAGGAACAGTAGATGAGGTAGTATGTGGGGAGAGCTGTCAGTGCCAGGTGATGATGATAGAGAAATACGTCTGTCAAAGACTATCAGCACTAAGACTAAGGCTTAAAGACACTCAGCAGGAAAGCATGGTGTTTTGAAACAGGAGAGTGAAACTGTTAGACCTGCATCCTACATGGGTCATTCTAGATGCAATAGAATATGGGACAGAAAGAACAGTATTCAGATTTGGAGAGGCCAAATAATAATGCAAATAAGAGAAGATGAGAGCCAAAAGCAAAGCAGTACCAGTTAGAAAAGGACATATTCCAGAAACAAGCCAGAGGTGACTATAGGATGTCAGCAGTGACAAAAAAAAGACTACAAAAAGTCATGCCTG